AGCAAAGAAAACCTTTTATGTTTTTAATTTTTTGTTCTTTTTTCATTTATAGTGCAAAAAATAAAACACCCAGTGGTGATTAAAAAAGGTGCAGCGCTTATATATTAAAACATGCAAGATATCAAAAATGCAAGAGTGTATCCCTGCAAAACGCAGGCAGGGTATAGTTATTATACTGCCCCTTATAGTCTCAAATAACACACAAATATATAGTTCACAGTCTCCCAGTGGGTAGGGTGAGGTGAAGGATCAGATGGATCTCTATTGACACACGGTGATAGCCAAAAAAGGTGATGTATGGTGATATCCAAAACTGGTAAAAGATTGTGCACTCACCAGATGCACAACCAATATGCGCATGTAAGAGATAACCCCTCTCAAGGTATGGTTCCAGGACTCATCAAAGGCAAGATCTGGTCAAACTTTACGATGTGGACCCTCAGCTGTCATGCATGGCTCTGTCCCCTATAGCTCTTTACTCTGCAGGTAGTTGGAAGCTCACCAGAGAGCCCCAGAAAGAAACAAGGAGGCCAAAATAGCGTGATACCGCTTAAGCATGCGTGCGTTTATTTCATCCAGCAACAGGGTATAATAAAAACAATACTGACCAGACAATAAAGTTGGCCGCCGGGACCTCAATGGTGCCGGCGGTGGTAAACGTCACTGTGCCGCAGTTCCTCGCTGACGCATTTCGTGCAACCGCACTTACTCATAGGGGGTATGCTCTGGGCGCAGGACGTTTAATAATGCATATATATAGACAAAAAAAACCGCGCTCGTTCAATAAACGTGCGCCATTTTGTAATAGACTTACGTCTTCAAACATGCGCCATTTTGTTGGAGTGCGCGCATGCGCGATAATGATATATTACGGGGAACGCGTGAGCGTTGAATCCACCGCTTCAATCGCGCATGTGCGGGCGCCATTTTACCGGAGGCCAAATATAATTGTGTCACCACCAAGCAAGAGAACCAGGAAAAAAGGGGAACAAATGATATAGAGTGAGATATCGTCACTCCTCGTAACCAGGGTAACGTATATGGGCACCTGGATATATTATCCCAGGTTGGTCATATGCAAATATTATGACAACTACGCACATATAGATGATAACAATGCCATGTGTAAAATAATAGCAATCGCATAATTATATGATAAACACCCTCTGTATGCCCATATTATTGGGATTATCAGTAAAAATGCTGATTACAAAGCCCTCTTTATATATGTGGTGTTTACCTAAAATACTTGCCGCAACCCACCTTAAACGTATATAAATATAAATAAAGATAATCTTTGATTGGAAAGGTGACACAAAAAACATATATTTAAAAATATATAAAAAACATGTGCATTATGTTCTTCTCACTTTAACAACAAGATATATATGAAAATAAAAATAAAATACCCATAAAAACATAAAATATGAAGATCCAAAAGATCCATAAAACAATAAAAATTATTATGAGCAAAATATCAATAAAATTGTTTATAGATTAAAAATTAGAATTCGCAATGGTCTAAAGGCAAATTATAAAACAGTTAGGAAGTTGGTAAAGACCTATTTGGCCAAAAAATGGAGATATGATGAAAAGGATAAATATCGACTAAAATGGATAAATATTTAACTATTATCTATAAAACAATTTATATCCATTTCAACGTTGAGTCCTTTGGGATGCATAGATCCAATCTCAAAGATCCATCTTGACTCCATCTGTGATACGGCCCGTTTTTTATTTATCCCTCTCCAATTGGATTGTACAACTTCAACTCCCGTAAACGTTAAAGATGATGGATCTCTGTGGTGACACCTGCGATAATGATTGGAAAGGGAATGTTCCTTGTATCCACGTTTGATGTTATAAACGTGTTCACGTAAACGATCCCTTAGGCGTCGTGTTGTGCGGCCTATATACTGCTTCTTGCATGGGCATTGAAGCAAATAAACCACATATCTGCTATTGCAGGTTATATAAAATTATCAATTTTGTAATTTCTACCAGTGGTTGAGGACGTAAAGCTGTCAACTCTCCTTTTTCTATGTCCATTGCATGTGCAGATCACACACTTGTTGCAAGGATAAAATCCAATTAAATTATTAAAAAACGGGATACTTGAGGGAGGATTGATCACATTAGGGGCAATTTTATTACGTAAGGAGGGTGCCCTCCTAAAGGTGATTTCAGGTTTATCAGGCAGTATCTGGGCTAATATAGGGTCAGCCTTGAGAATTTTCCAATTGTCCCTTATGATCCTATTTATTGTTTTATATTGATTCGAATAGGTGGTTACAAACGGACATGTCTTGGACGGGCGTGATTTGGCCACTCCATTCAATAATGATTTTCTGTCAAGTTTAGCAACCTCATCTAAAGTGCAATTTAGTGCGGACTCATCATAACCTTTCTCTATGAATCTGTATTTTAAAATGCTGGCCTGTTGATAATACGTATCCAGATTGGTACAATTCCTCCTTATTCTCTGGAATTGACCTTTCGGGATATTCGAGAGCCAGTTTGGATGGTGACAACTATATGTGGGAATATAACTATTCCTGTCCGTTTCCTTGAAAAAAGATTGTGTTGTCACCCCACCATTTTGATTCATGAGCGTTAAATCCAAAAAATTAATACTATTTTTACTATATTCATATGTTAATTTGATATTCAAATTGTTATTGTTCAAGGTTTTAAAAAATGCACATGTTTTTTATATATTTTTTAAATATACGTATAAATGGCGCCCGCACATGCGCGATTGAAGCGGTGGATTCAACGCTCACGCGTTCCCCGTATATATCATTATCGCGCATGCGCGCACTCCAACAAAATGGCGCATGTTTGAAGACGTAAGTCTATTACAAAATGGCGCACGTTTATTGAACGAGCGCGGTTTTTTGTCTATATATATGCATTATTAAACGCCCAGAGCATACCCTGCGCCCAGAGCATACCCCCTATGAGTAAGTGCGGTTGCACGAAACGCGTCAGCAAGGAACTGCGGCACAGTGACGTTTACCACCGCCGGCACCATTGGGGCCAACTTTATTGTCTGGTCAGTATTGTTTTTATTATACCCTGTTGCTGGATGAAATAAACGCACGCATGCTTAAGCGGTATCACGCTATTCTGGCCTCCTTGTTTCTTTCTGGGGCTCTCTGGTGAGCTTCCAACTACCTGCAGAGTAAAGAGCTATAGGGGACAGAGTCATGCATGACAGCTGAGGGTCCACATCGTAAAGTTTGACCAGATCTTGCCTTTGATGAGTCCTGGAACCATACCTTGAGAGGGGTTATCTCTTACATGCGCATATTGGTTGTGCATCTGGTGAGTGCACAATCTTTTACCAGTTTTGGATATCACCATACATCACCTTTTTTGGCTATCACCGTGTGTCAATAGAGATCCATCTGATCCTTCACCTCACCCTATCCACTGGGAGACTGTGAACTATATATTTGTGTGTTATTTTGAGACTATAAGGGGCAGTATAGTAACTATACCCTGCCTGCGTTTTGCAGGGATACACTCTTGCATTTTTGATATCTTGCATGTTTTAATATATAAGCGCTGCACCTTTTTTAATCACCTCTGGGTGTTTTATTTTTTGCACTATAAATGAAAAAAGAACAAAAAATTAAAAACATAAAAGGTTTTCTTTGCTTCTATTATAAAATTTTGCAAACAGGTAATATTTCTTCTTTGATGTGCGTTGGTGAGGCTGCACTAATAGGCAGCACTGATGGGCATTGATGAGGCGGCACAAATAGGTAGCACTGATGAGGCGGCACTGGTGGGCATTTATGAGGAGGCACTGATGATGCACTGATATGCAGCAATGATGGGCACTGATAAGCGGCACTGACTGATAGCACCAACTGGAGGCACTGACAGACGGCACTGATCGGCAACACTGCTGGGCATCATTGATGGGTGGCACTGATGGGCAGCACTGATGGATGACACTGCTGGGCACTGACAGGTGGCACTGCTGGGCAGCACTGACAGGCGACACTGCTGGGCACTGATGGGTGACAATGCTGGGCACTGATGGATGACACTGCTGAGCACTGCTGGGCATCATTGATGGATGGCACTGATGGGCAGCACTGATAGGCGACACTGCTGGGCACTGACAGGTGGCACTGCTGGGCAGCACTGACAGGTGGCACTGACAGGCGACACTGCTGGGCACTGATGGGTGACACTGCTGGATGACACTGCTGGGCATCATTGATGGGTGGCACTGATGGGCAGCACTGATGGGCGACACTGCTGGGCACTGACAGGTGGCACTGCTGGGCAGCACTGACAGGCGACACTGCTGGGCACTGATGGGTGACACTTCTGGGCACTGATGGATGACACTGCAAGCAGTTAATCTCACCTCTGGCAGTGTCGGTGTGGCTTCCAACCCAGTGGCTCATTCCCATCCACGCTGAACACGTTGCCCCTGACCCCGGAGCAGTGTGGGAGCCTCTTCCTCTCTTCCACGCCCATCCCCGGCTACATCACCCCTGGTGCCAGATCCGCATAGGAGCCGTTTCCTCTCGTCCACACCCACCCTGGCCCCAGAGACATGTGGGAAATGTAGTTTGATGGGGGTCCAGTGTGGACGAGATCTAGATGTCCGGTCCGTGTGCGCTCATCTTCCTCTTCTTCCTGGCGTGCCCACTGAGATGGCTCTGCGTGCCAGCTCTGGCACACGTGCCATAGGTTCGCCATCACTGCCATAGACAATATTGGAAGAGAAGTGAATGCCCATAGACAATTATGGAAGAGAAGCGAATACCCATAGAGAATAATGAAAGAGAAGCGAATGTCCATAGACAGTAATGAAAGAGAAGTGAATGCCCATAGAGAATAATGGAAGAGAAGGGAATGCCCATAGAGAATAATGAATCTTGTTTCATCTCAATTTTAACCACCTCCCGCCCACCATATAGTCCAATGACGGGCGCAAGGTGGTTCTCTTTGTTCTGGGAGGACGTCATATGATGTCCTCTCATTCTCACCGCGCATGTGCGGCTCCGGGAGCGCGCAGCGCTGCGATCTGCGGTGCACTGTGTCCCTCAGACACAGCGGATCACCGATCCACGGAAAGAGCCGAAGATTTCGGCTCGGCCATGTGACCAGCTCTGTCCAATCACAGCTGATCACATGTAAACAGGGAAAAGCCGGTTATCGGCATTTCTTTCCTCACAAGCTGTCACGCTGACAGCTCGAGAGGAGAGGAGAGTCAGTAATCAGCTTTCCGCAGAGGGGACATGTACACTGATCATCAGGGCACTGATGATCAGTGTGCCCTGATGATCAGTGTGGCCCCAGAAGTGCCACCTGTCAGTGTCCATCAGTGCCAGCTGTCAGTGCTGAACAATGCCACGTGCCAGTACCCTTCAGTGCCACATCAATGCCACATAGCAGTGCCTACCAGTGCACATCAATGCCACATATCAGTGCCCATCTGAGCTGCCTTTCAGTGCCACCTATCAATGCCAATCAGTGCAACCTATCAGTGCCACCTATCAGTGCCAGTCAGCGCCGCCTATAAGTGTGCATCAGTGCCGCCTATCAGTGCCGTCAGCACCGCCTAACAGTGCCAGTCAGTGCTGCCTATCAGTGCCAGTCAATGCCGCCTATCAGTGCCAGTCAGTGCCGCCTATCAGTACCATATATCAGTGCTGCCTTTCAGTGCCCATCAGTAATGCCTGTCAATGCCCATCAGTGCCACCTACCAGTGCCTCCTCATCAGTGCCCATCCGTGCGACCTATCAGTGTCCATCAGTGCAGCCTATCAGTGCCCATCACTGCAGCCTCATTAAAGCACATCAGTGAAGGAGAAAAATCACTTATTTACAAAATTTTATAACTAAAACTAAGAAAAAAAATTTTTTTTCAAAATTTTCAGTGGTTTTTGGTATGTTTAAGAAAACATAAAAAACCCAGAGGTGAGTAAATACCACCAAATAAAGCTCTATCTGTCACAAAAAAAGATAAAAATTTCATATGGGTGCAGTGTTGCATGACTGTGCAATTGTCATTCAAAGTGCGACAGTGCTGAGAGCTGGAAGTGGGCCTGGGCAGGAAGGGGATATAAGTGCCCGATAGGCAAGTGGTTAAAAATCACCACTGAGCATGGAGAGTATGTCTGCTAAGGATTTACTTGGAATGTTGAATGGTTCTGCCTCCAAAACACATCTTGCTTCCCATTATAAGCTATGGGCATTATCTTTTGTCATTCCCTAGAAAACAGCTATAATCCCAAATAATTTCAATTTTACAATCTGCTACTCTGCTTGAGGAACACCTGTGGTAAAGGTGAAAATGCAATATTTTTCAGATTTGCCTGCAAATGAGTTTCAATTTTGTTTTCCCTTATTGTCTATGGACATTCCCTTCTCTTCCATTATTCTCTATCAGCATTTGCTACTCTTCCATTATCCTCTAAGGTCATTCCCTTTTCTTCTTTTGTCTATGGGGCATTCACTTCTCTTTCATTATTGTCTATGGGCATTCGCTTCTCTTTCATTATTGTCTATGCGCATTCTCTTCTATTTCATTATTGTCTATGGGGTTTCCCTTCTTTTCCTTTATTGTCTATGGGCATTCCACTGCCCTGTTAAAGTATATGGGCATTCGCTTGTCTTCCATTATTGTCTATGGGCATTCGCTTGTCTTCCATTATTTTCTATGGGCATTCCCTTCTCTTCCATTATTCTCTTTGGGCATTCTATTCTCTTCTATTATTCTCTATGGTCATTCTTTTCTCTTCCATTAATGTCTGTGGGCATTCCCTTCTCTTCCATTATTGTCTATGGGCATTCCACTGCCCTGTTAAAAAATATGGGCATTCGCTTCTCTTCCATTATTGTCTATGGGCATTCCCTTCTCTATCATTATTGTATATGGGCATTCCACTGCCCTGTTAAAGTCTATAGGCATTCTTTTCTCTTCCGTTATTGTCTATGGGCATTCCTTCTTCGGGCATTCGCTCTCATCCATTAATGTCTAAGGTCATTCGCTTCTCTTCCATTATTGTCTATGGGCATTCCCTTCTCTTCCATTATTGTCTATGGGCATTCCCTTCTCTTCCATTATTCTCTATGGGCATTCCTTCTCTTCCATTATTCTCTATGGGCATTCGCTTCTCTTTCATTATTGTCTATGGGCATTCCCTTCTCTTTCATTATTCTCTATGGGAATTCCCTTCTTTTCCATTATTCTCTATGGGCATTCCCTTCTCTTCCCCATTATTGTCTATGGGCATTCACTTCTCTTCCATTATTGTCTATGTGCATTCTCTTCTTTTCCATTATTGTTTATGGGCATTCCACTGCCCTGTTAAAGTCTATGGGCATTCCTTTCTTTTCCATTATTGTCTATGGACATTTCCCTTCTTTCCATTATAGTCTGTGGGCATTCCCTTCTCTTTCATTATTGTCTATAGGGTTTCCCTTCTTTTCCTTTATTGTCTATGGGCATTCCACTGCCCTGTTAAAGTCTATGGGCATTCGCTTCTCTTCCATTATTGTCTATGGGCATTCGTTTCTCTTCCATTATTGTCTATGGGCATTCGCTTTAAAGTCTCTTCCATTATTGTCTATGGGCATTCGCTTCTCTTCCATTATTGTCTCTATGGGCATTCCCTTCTCTTTCCATTATTCTATGGGCATTCCTTCTCTTCCATTTATTGTCTATGGGCATTCCACTTCTCTTCCATTATTTCTCTATGGGCATTTTTCTCTTCCATTATTGTCTATGGGCATTCCTTCTCTTTCATTATTGTCTATTTCCACTGCTATCTATGGGGCATTCATTTCTCTTCTTCTTTGTCTATGGGCATTCATTCTCTTCCATTATTTCTCTTCTCTTCCCTTCTCTTCCATTATTGTCTATGGGCATTCCACTTCTCTTCCATTAAAATGTCTACTGGGCATTTTCTCTTCCATTATTGTCTATGGGCATTCCACTTCTCTTCCATTATTGTCTATGGGCATTCCTTCTCTTCCATTATTTTCTATGGGCATTCCCTTCTCTTATTGTCTATGGGCATTATTTATCTATGGGCATTTCTCTTCTGTTATTCCTATGGCATTCCCTTCTCTTCCATTATTCGCTTCTCTCTATTGTCTATGGGCTTTCCCTTCTTTCCATTTTCTTCTATGGGCATTCCTTCTCTTCCATTATTGTCTATGGGCATTCCTTCTCTTCCATTATTGTCTATGGGCATTCACTTCTCTTCCATTTATATTGTCTATGGGGCATTCCTTCTCTCTTCCATTATTGTCTATGGGCATTCCCTTCTCTTCCATTATTGTCTATGGGCATTTGCCTTCTCTTCCATTATTGTCTATGGGCATTCGCTTCTCTTCCATTATTGTCTATGGGCATTCCCTTTCTTCCATTATTGTCTATGGGCATTCTTGTTTCCATTATTGTCTATGGGCATTCACTTTTCTCTTCCATTATTGTCTATGGGCATTCCTTCTCTTCCATTATTGTCTATGGGCATTCCCTTCTCTTCATTATTCTCTATGGGCATTCCCTTCTCTTCCATTATTGTCTATGGGCATTCCTTCTCTTCCATTATTGTCTATGGGCATTCCATTATTTCCATTATTTCTATGGGCATTTCGCTTCTCTTTCATTATTGTCTATGGGCATTCCCTTCTCTTCCATTATTGTCTATGGGCATTCACTTCTCTTCCATTATTGTCTATGGGCATTCCTTTCTCTCTTCCATTATTGTCTATGGCATTCCTTTTTTCCATTATTGTCTGTGGGCATTCCCTTCTCTTCCATTATTGTCTATGGGGTTCCCTTCTCTTCCTTATTGTCTATGGGCATTCCACTGCCCTGTTAAAGTCTATGGGCATTCGCTTGTCTTCCATTATTGTCTATGGGCATTCCCTTGTCTTCCATTATTGTCTATGGGCATTCGCTTCTCTTCCATTATTGTCTATGGGCATTCCCTTCTCTTCCATTATTGTCTATGGGCATTCCTTTCTTCCCATTTTGTCTATGGGCATTCCCTCTTCTGTTATTATCTATGGGCATTCCCTTTCTCTTCTATTATTGTCTATGGGCATTCCCTTCTCTTCCATTATTGTCTATGGGCATTCCCTTCTCCACTGCCCTGTCTATGGGCATTCCACTGCTTCTGTTCCATATGGGGGCATTCGCTTCTCTTCCATTATTGTCTATGGGCATTCCTTTCTCTCCCATTATTGTCTATGGGCATTCCACTTCCCTTCCATTAAGTCTATGGGCATTCCTTTTCTCTTCTATGTTATTGTCTATATTCGCTTCTCTTTCCATTATTGTCTATGGGCATTCCTTCTCTTCCTTTCTTCCATTATTGTCTATGGGCATTCCACTGCCCTGTTAAAGTCTATTCGCTTGTCTTCCATTATTGTCTATGGGCATTCCCTTCTCTTCCATTATTCTCTATGGTCATTCTTTTCTCTTTCCATAAATGTCTGTGGGCATTCCCTTCTTTTCCATTATTGTCTATGGGCATTCCACTGCCCTGTTAAAATCTATGGGCATTCGCTTCTCTTCCATTATTGTCTATGGGCATTCCCTTCTCTACCATTATTGTCTATGGGCATTCCCTTCTCTTCCTTAAAATCTATGGCAAGTCTATGGGCATTCTTTTCTCTTCCATTATTGTCTGTGGGCATTCCCTTCTTATTGTCTATGGGCATTCGCTTCTCTTTCATTATTGTCTATGGGCATTCCCTTCTCTCCTTTCTTTCATTATTCTCTCTTCCATTTTGTTTGGGCATTCTCTTTTCCATTATTGTCTATGGGCATTCCACTTCCCTGTTCCATTATTGTCTATGGGCATTCCTTCTCTTCCATTATTGTCTATGGGCATTCCAGTCCCTGTTAAATTGTCTATGGGCATTCCCTTCTCTTCCATTATTCTCTATGGGCATTCCCTTCCATTATTGTCTATGGGCATTCCTTCCTTTTATTGTCTATGGGCATTCCCTTCTCTTCCATTATTGTCTATGGGCATTCCCTTCTTCTCTTCCATTATTGTCTATGGGCATTCCCTTCTCTTCCATTATTGTCTATGGGCATTCGCTTCTCTTTCATTATTGTCTATGGGCATTCGCTTCTCTTCCATTATTGTCTATGGGCATTCCCTTTCTCTTCTTTTATTCTCTATGGGCATTCCTTCTCTTCCATTATTGTCTATGGGCATTCCCTTCTCTTCCATTATTGTCTATGGGCATTCCCTTCTCTTCCCTGTTAAAATCTATGGGCATTCTTCTTCTCTTTCCATTATTGTCTATGGGCATTCCCTTCTCTTCCATTATTGTCTATGGGCATTCCACTGCCCTGTTAAAATCTATGGGCATTCGCTTCTCTTCCATTTGTCTATTCCCTTCTCTATGGGGGCATTCCCTTCTCTTCCATTATTGTCTATGTATATGGCATTCCATGCCTGTTAAAGTCTATGGGCATTCTTTTCTCTTCCATTATTGTCTATGGGCATTCCATTCCCTTCTCTTCCATTATTGTCTATGGGCATTCCCTTCTCTTCCATTATTCTCTATGGGCATTCCCTTCCATTTCTATTTCCCTTCTCTTTCTATGGTCTATTCCCTTCTCTTCCATTATTGTCTATGGGCATTCCTTCTCTTCCATTATTGTC